AGAAAATACTAGTATGCATCCCTTATGCTTTTTACTAAATTTTAAATTTAAGAGGCTCTAGGAACAGAAGACTGAGTGAGCAATCTTCACCAGAGTTCTCAGTCCTTACAATATGAAAACCATGGCAATTTCAAAGTCAGTTTCATCCAAACAGCCACGACAATTTGCAAGGTGACTTTATTTTTAAAACCTGTATCTTAAAGAACTAACAGTTTATTGTACTGTTAAAAAATTAGTTTTTAAATTGATTATGGTTCCAAGTTACTGCTTAAAATTTCAGTAACATTAAGAACACTTAGTATTTTTGAAGTTGTTACTTTTTCAGATAGAAACTAAAATACATTTGCCAATGACTAATCTGCAGGTGTCTCAAAATTAACTGGATACAGTAATAAGTTAATTAGTTTATTATCTTTATTATTTTTAAAAGAAGCTATAGATTTTTTCATATTAAATTCAGCAAGTAACAAGATAGCTGTATTTTGTAAAATAGCCTACTTGAAAAACAAAATGCCAACATTTACCTGAAAATGCTAACCCAGATTAATATATTCTGAATAGGGTATAATGAATTTATTTACCCTCAAATCAGAAGACATTTTAATAACCCACTGTCTATCTTTGTGCTTTCAACAGCAAAAAGTACTTTGCTATATAGTATTACTTGGCTTAAATCTGGAAGTCTTAATTCAACTCACTAATTGGAGCCACATACTGATATTTGAAAGACTTCAACTGGAAAAAAAACAAAGGTTTTGACCAAAGAAGTCAAAAAGCTTGAAGAATTCCACCCACTGATTCCTGCTAGAACTGAAAGGTTCAACACAGTTAAAGTGTATTTGATTTTACTCATTTTCATCCAACATAGAAATTTGAATACCAAAAGAAAAGCAAGAAGTTAAGGCACGTAAGCCAGCAAAATCTCAAAGACTATCTCACACAAACCATTCTCACACCCTTCAACTCTTCATATTAGATATGCCAATTAGGATAAGAAGGTCAAGTTGATCTTCTCTCGGTTCAATTTGCTTTTCTCTGGACCAGGTACAATTAAAAAGGAATAGTATGTGTCTTCACAAAAAAAAAAAAACCAACAAAAAACTCCAACACCAACTAAGGATTAAACTAAGCCTAATAATAGCTCTTAAAAGTGTTGATAGTGAAGGAATGGTGGAACAGCAGAATAAAAATTGTGCTGTTTTATTAAAACAAACATTAAAACAGTACGTGACAAAACAAGTGATAGATAGGTTGCTTTTTCTTGTGCTGCTGTGTCACTTTTAAAGACTTCTAAACTAGATGACAAAAATCTACCACATGCTCCTAAAACAAGAGAAAATACAGCATCAATACGAAAAAACTGGAGACAATGGAAGGCACTGTCATTTTCCAAAGGGAAAGTAGAGAGTAATTAAAGTAACCCTTACCTCCCCATCTATAATCCCCCTGAATACTGATGGCAGAAGGGGTTGAAACATTTGAGGACCCAACACAGGGTTGACTTTCAGGACATTTTCTACAACCTTAAGAACAAAAGCAAATTAGGCCATTAGTAAAGTACATTATCAATATTAACCAAAGCTTTAAAAACATGTGTACTAGTATACACATAAAGTGCTCATAGGATGCGTACTATTAAATATCAGCAAACCTCAGATTGCTGAAACTATATTCCAGTAAAATATTCTGCAAATCTGATCTGCATAAATGCACCTAGTGAAAACTGACAGGTCAATGAAATCCACCTAGCCAAGCACCTCACAAGCCTTCCCAAAACCCAGGCAAAGTTGATGAGATGGTTTGGAAAAAAGGACCTTGTTATGGCTCCAGGAAAAGCAGCAGATTGAGGTGGTTGGTAGGGTGAAGTACCAGCAGTTTAGAGCATATTTCCATAGCTTTGTTATGCCACTTTTTTGAGAAACCACTATTTAAGACCTACCAGCTCTCTGCAGGTGTGTTCTCAGAGGTCTTATTCTGGGTACCCCGCTCTGGTTCCCAATGTTTAAACTCTTTACCCTTTGTTATTCTTTTTCTTCTTCCCTTATGTGTTGTTGCCTAAAGTAACTTGTTTTCCTGCCTTCTTCAGTTTTTCTTTTGCCCAGATGTTTGTGCTCTACCCTTGCACTAAGAGAGAAGTGAAGAAGCTGTGAGAATAATGGGCTGAGGGCTTCTCACTCCTACTTCCAGGTAGACAGTGATGCCAAATGCATGAACACACTGATGTATTTATAAAGCACATAAAGGTATCATAAAGGTACCTCGCCATAACACTCTTCATCTCCATTTACTTCCACCTCAAAGAAATTTCAACAAGGATCAACCCTTCTGTGCTCTTGACCAATCTCTCCTAAATATTTTTCTCCTTTTTGAATCTGGTTCCCAACAGTTTCATTTAATACTTTATTTTTTGCATTGGGGAAAGTGTTAAGCATTTGACCTTTCTCAATGCCTCTCAATTTTGTAGACCTTTAATATGCAGAGGTATAAAAGAGGTAATAAGGTAAGGGTAAGGGTAAGGGTAAGGGTAAGGGTAAGGGTAAGGGTAAGGGTAAGGGTAAGGGTAAGGGTAAGGGTAAGGGTAAGGGTAAGGGAAGGTAAGGTAAACAAAACATAACTCTTCCCCCACTCATCTGAGTACTCGAAGTTTTGGCCAACTCCTTTGCTCCCACAGTCTTTTTAAACCTTT